AATCACCCCCCCAGCTCTGCTTCCCGACCCCCCACTTCCTCCCAGCCAGCCCCACCACGTCTCCCCCATCCACGATCAAGTGTGTCCGGTATTTTTGGGGAGCCTACCAGGTAACCCTTCCCACACACACACTATAAAAACTGTTCCAGCACCTCTGCTTCCAGGGATTGCATGTACTACAGGGCTGTGGCATGTAGCGCTGCCAACGTATTTAAAAAATAAGGAACTATTTTCTTAGCAGCCCTGTGCCACTTGTCTCTGCAATATTATCATTGTTAGTGTTAATGTTAATAACAAACAGTACTTACCTGCATTCACCAGGGCTACATCTAGACTGGCATGGTTTTCCGCAAATGCTTTTAACGGAAAAGTTTTCTGTTAAAAGCATTTGCGGAAAAGAGCGTCTAGATTGACACGGACGCTTTTCTGCAAAAAAGCCCCGATCGCCGTTTTCGCAATCGGGGCTTTTATGCGCAAAACAAATCTTAGTCCTTTGCGCAAAAGGACTTTTGCCCGAACGGGAGCAACATAGTATTTCCGCAAGAAGCACTGATTTCAGACAGTAGGAAGTCAGTGTTCTTGCAGAAATTAAAGCGGCCAGTGTAGACACAGCCCAGGGGTATTTCTTGCTCCATTTGGCAGCACTCAGCAACTCATGATCTTGTACAGAGATGAAAAAATAAGGGAATTTACTTGTAATAAAGGACTGTTGGCACCCCTAGGCTACGTCTAGACTGGTATGATTTTCCGGAAATGCTTTTAACGGAAAAGTTTTCTGTTAAAAGCATTTTCAGAAAAGAGCATCTAGATTGGCAGGACGCTTTTCCGCAAAAGCACTTTTTGCGGAAAAGCGTCTGTGGCCAATCTAGACGCGCTTTTCCGCAAAAAAAGCCCCAATCGCCATTTTCGCGATCCAGGCTTTTTTGCGGAAAATTCTACTGTGCTGTCTACACTGGCCCTTTTCCGGAACAGTTTTCCAGAAAAAGACTTTTGCCCGAACGGGAGCAGCATAGTTTTTCTGGAAAAACACTGATGATTTTACATGAGATCGTCAGTGCTTTTCCGAAAAGAAATTCAAGCGGCCAGTGTAGACAGCTGGCAAGTTTTTCCGCAAAAGCACCTGGTTTTGCAGAAAAACTTTCCAGTCTAGACACAGCCTCACTGTTGCTGCATTTCACAGTTGAGTAGCCAAATCTACAGAGCTCAGAAGCAGCTATTATTGTTCACCTATCATAGAAAGAAGATGGGCCAGAGCTGACTGGGCTGACTTTACCATGCTGCTTTTCAGATAACTGGGCCAAAGTACATGCTTGTCCAGCTCCCACTAACGCTATGTGGATCTTTGTCTTTTTCTAGTGGTAAGACTGTAATACAGAGAGTTACGAATTTGTTACCACCATTCTAATGCAGTCAATTTCAAACTTTTTTTCTCATGACCCAGTTCAAGAAAATTGTTGATGCCCACAACCTATCATAATTCTATCTTTTGACTAGAGTTCAGGTTCCAACGTGGAGCTGGAGATGGGAGGTTTGGAGTGTATAAGGAGGCTCCAGGTGGGGAAGGAATGAGGGCAGGGAACTGGGGCATGGGCTTACCTCCGGTGACTCCTGGTCAGCAGCACAGTAGGGGTGCTAAGGCAGGCTCCATCCCTGTCCTGGCACTATGGACACAGAAGCAGCCAGCAACCAGTCTGTCTCGTAGGTGGAGGTGCGCAAGTGACTGTGGCTGTGGGTGCTGCTCTGCCCTGCTGGCACCGCTCCCCCAGCTCCCATTAGGCAGGACAGGCAGGAAGCCTGCCTTAGCACTCCTTCTGGTGACCTGGTTACCCTACAGCAAGGTGACCCAGCACCTGATATTCCCCACCCAATACAGGAGGAGGAAATTTTGTATGCTCCCTCATCCCCAGACCAATCGGAGAGCCTGCAAAGTCTTTTGCCCCCTGCCCTGTCAGGGGCACATGATGCCTAGAGGAACCACCAGCCATTTTGAGAAGCTGGCAAATCCCACCAACCGCTTTGAACAGCGAATGACTTTGTGCATTCCCCCATTCCTGGGTCTCAATTGGCCTGGAGACGGGGGCATGGGAGGGCAGGCTGTGGGCCAGATCAAATGCCTTGGTGGGCAGGATTTGGTCTGCGGGCCATATCTTCCCCATCCCTGACACAGACATTTCTTACTACAACAAAAGGGTTCTTTTTCTTCAGTTTATGTAATCTATCTCTCAGAGTGGAAGAGAAATTGAAAGAAGAATTATTTTTTCATTGAGGTAAGGACATATGTTAGCTTAACTGCAGTGTTTAGTGGTGTGAATTTTTCACAGCTACTGAACAACGGAGCTACATGACTATAAATTTTTAAGTGTAGACCAGATCTTAGCTATCTTGGTCTAGCCTAAGTGCTTGTCTAAATGGTTAATTTACCAGCATAACTGTTCTGATAGAATTATACTGCTCTGGTTATGCTTCTACATTTTCCCATGTAGATAAGCCCTTACTTGACAGGGTATGACCACAGCAGTTGAGTTCCACATCATGGATGTCATGCCCCTTGTCAACACTGTTGCTGTATCTAATTATGAGAGATATAAAGATTTCTTGGTGTGTCCCATATTCCATGTGCTATTCCATCCTTGTGCTATCAGGTATAGATCAACTAGAACTGACAGGTGCTGATTTTTATAGAGACAATGTTTCTCTGGTACGCAACTGCCTGACCTGCTGCCAGTAGGAGATGTCCATGTTTCAAGGGTGGCTTTTTGCCCAGATAAAATAGTGGCAATTTGCTATTACAAGCAGAAGGAATAAAAGCCAGCATCTTGTGGATGTGGAGACTTGGACTACGTTTACACTACGGGTTCTTCCGGGATACCAGGGAACGTCCAGAGAATGCATCTGCTCTTCCGCTTTTATTTGTGGAAGAGCAGACACGCTCTTT